ATTTTGGGGAGGGTCTCTGTTCCAGGGCGTGAGGTCTCTAATCTTTTGGGGGATTTGTGTCCAGTATGTTAGATACCTGAGCTTGGGGGGTTCTGTCCATGGTGGGAGGTTCGTGAGGTTTTCATTTATCTGTCTTGGGATTTGAAGTCAGAACAATTTGGGGGGGATGTTTCCATGATGAGTTGTCTCTGATATGCCTGGGTATCTGTATCCATGAGTGCAAAATCCCTAGATGTTTTAGTGTCTGTTTTTTAGGGTATGATGATTATTATAGTTGGAGGTACTAGAGGGAATGAGCTGAAACAATAGGAAGAAGTTGTCTGAGAGTAGGATGCGTGAACTTAATATTGTGCTTGTTCCAGTCTGGGTGGTGATGTCAAAGTTATTTCTGTGGGAGTGAGTGGCTGAGAAGATCACTAGAGAAGAGGAGGTCAAGGAAGTAAGAGGCCAGGTCTCTGTGTGGAAGTGGAAGGGTAATTTAAGTGGAAATGAAATCACCAAGATTCAAGGGAGGGGTGGAATTGAAGAGAGTGATAGTAATGTAGGAGCTAAAATTCTAGAGAAATGAGGGCTGGTAGATGATCTCGATAAATTGAGACTCTCATGAGCATTAAAACTGAGGGATTTTAGGAAGAAGGGAGGGAGAATTGTTTGAAAGTATTCTCTGTACACCAAGGATTTTAAAAAGAACTCTTTTATTGAAGAAGAAATGATTGACTCTCATCACTTTGCAAACCCCTAATGAAATAATGGATCCAGGCAATGGCTATCTAGGGCCACAAAATCACAAAAGAGAGAGCTAGACATACATGCCTCCTGATGGAAGAACTCACGGCACCACCTGTGAAGAACTCTTGCCCCAAAATTGAACCTGTAATAGATCAACCTCTAGATCCAACTACCAGTTTATAGAAATCCAGGCGACAGAGGAACATGTTGAACAAGATCATGGAAAGTAATCAGCCTAATAACCCAGGCTTCCTTCAGGTCTGCTAAACTGCCACCTCCTCAGTGAGGTCTGTCTTGACCACCTCATATAAAATTGCAATCTCCCTATCCCCAATCACCCGGTGCTCCCTCTCCCTTTGCTCTGCTTTGCACTCAGTATCATCATCTGAGTTTCTTATACTACTTTTTATTATTTGTCTCTGTCCTGTGAGACAGTGACATTCTTGAAGGCAGGGGCTTTGTCTGGTTGTTGTGTTGCTGTGTCCCCAGCAGCTAGAACATGGCCTGGTACAGAGTTAAGCAATACATAAACATCTGTGGAGTAAATGCATGCATGAATGAATGGATCTGGCAGAGCATCAGAGCAGTAGTCCCAGCCCAGCTCTCTCCTGCTTTCTGTCCATCAGAAGCAGGTAGGCACCTTATTTCCAAGCCCTCCCCCAACCCAGGACGTTAAGGTAGAAGTGGGGCTCATAGCTCACCTTTGAAGGCTATTGCACATTTTATCATAAAACATACTCCCTCAATCCTAAATACAATAAATATACTTTTGCTTCTATTTTCCCATAGTAGGGGGAAGTGGGGAATAAAATCCTATCAACCTTCTCTAGGCAAATTCCCAGTACATAGAGTTACTTGAGCCAACAATAAGCCAGTTGGGGAATTTTCTTTTTCTCTACTCCGGAACATTTTATATCAAGGTGATCAATTGAGACAAAGTATGGAAGCATATTATCTAGAGTTGCACTGTCCAATATGGTAGCCACTAGCTACATGTGCCTATTTACATTTAAGTTAATCAAAATTAAAGTATCTGACACACACTACAAGATGAATGAACCTAGAGGACATTATGCTAAGTGAAATAAACCAATCACAGAAGGACAAATACTGCATGATTCCATTTATATAAGGTACCTAGAGTAGTCAAATTCATAGAGACAGAAAATAGAATGGTGGTTTTTAGGGGCTGGGGGGGAGCTGGGGAATGGGAAGTGATTGTCTAAAGAGTACAGAGTTTTAGTTTTGCAAGATGAAAAGACTTCTGGAGGTGGATAGTGGTGATGGTTGCACAACAATGTGAATGTATTTAATACTACTGAACTATACTTAAAAATGGTTAAGATGGTAAATTTTATGTTATTTTGTTATCATGTTATTTTGTGTATTTTACCACAACAAAAAAAATTAAGTAAAGTAAAAATTAAGTTCCTCAGTTACACTGGCTGCATTTTAAGCGCTCAATAGCCATATGTGGCTAGTGGCTGCTATGTTGGACAGAGTAAGTATAGAACACTTCCATCATTCAGAATATTTTATTGGACAGCACTGGTCTAGAGTTATGGCAGAATGCATTGGGAGAACTAAAATCAGAAAGAGGTTGAAGAGGTAAAAATGATTATCTCTGGGGCTGCAATTTGGGGTGGGGAGGGGCAGGCAAAACTTTTGCTTTTCACCAAAAGCCCCTCAGGACTGTGGGACTTATTTCCATACTCATGAATTACTGTGATAAAAATGTCTGGTGGCCAAAGGGTACAAACTTTCAGTTATAAGATGAGCAAGCTCCAGGAATCTGATGTACATCACGTGGACTCTAGTTAACAATACTGTGTTGTATACTTGCAAGTCGCTATGAGAGTAGAGCTTTAATGTTCTCATCATAACAACAACAACCAAACGGTAATTACGTGAAGTCAAGGGTGCGTTAACTAACCTTATTGTGGTAAGCATTTCATAATATATACGTGTATCAAATCATCATATTGTACACCTTACACTTACACGGTGTTGTATGTCAATTATATCTCAATACTGCTGGAAAAAAAATGTCTAAAGGAAAACCCACTCACCCAGGCCCCACCAGAGAGTTAGATCCCCTCCTCCTTTCCCTCCTTCTCCTCCTTCTTGTTTTTTTTTCTATTGAGGTGAAATTCACATAACATAAAATTGACGATTATAAAGTCAGCAATTCAACGGCAGTTAGTATATTCCTATGTTGTGCAGCCACCACCTCTATTGAGTTCCAAAATGTGTTCAGCACCCCTGAAAGGAAACTTTTTACCCATTAAGAAGTTGTTCTCAATTCCACCCCCCTGCCCCACCCAGCCCCTGGCAACCGCCATCTGTGTTCTATCTATCTATCTCTATGGATTTTCTTATTCTAGAATCATACAATATGTGACCTTTTGTGTCTGGCTTCTTTCACATAGCATAATGTTTTCAAGATTCGTCCACATTATAGCATGTATCATGGTCCATGTACTTCATACCTTTTTAAGACTGAATAATATTCCATTATATGTATACATCACATTTTGTTTATCCATTCATCTGTTGATGGACATATAGGGTGTTTCCATCTTTTGGCTATTGTGAATAGTGATGCTATGAACGTGTGTGTACATGTATTTGCTGAGTACCAGTTTTCAGTTCTTTTGGGTGTCTACCTAGAATTGGAATTGCTGGATCAGGTGGTAATTCTTTGTTTAGCTTTTTGAGGAACTGCCAAACTGTTTCCACAGTGGCTGAACCATTTTACATTCCCACCAGCAGTGCACAAGATTTCCAATTTCTCTACATTCTTACCAACACTTATTTTCTGTTTGGTTGTTTACATTTGTTTTTATTATAGCCATGCTAGTGGGGATGGTACCTCATTGTAGATTTGATTTGCATCTCCCTTATAATGAATGATGTTGAGTATTTTTTCCATGTGCTTCCTGGTCATTTGTATATCTTCTTTGGAGAAATGTCTACTCAAGCTCTTTGCCCATTTTAAAATTCAGATTGTTTTTATTTTTGTTGTTGGGTTGTAAGAGTTCTTTTTTTTATTGAAGTATATTGACAAACAATATTTTTAAATTTATTTTATTGAGGTCATATTGCCTTATAACATTGTGTAAATTTCAGGTGTACATTATTATATTTCAGTTTCTGTATAGACTGTATCGTGCTCACCACCAATAGTCTAGTTTTTATCTGTCACCACACACACATGCCTCTTTACCCCTTTCACCCTCCCTTCCTCTCCAGTAACCCCCTTCACCTCTGGTAACCACTAATCTGTTCTCCTTATCTGTGTGTTTGTTTATCTTCCACATATGAGTGAAATCATATGATGTTTGTCTTTCATAAGAGTTCTTTATATATTCTGGATGTATATCAGATATATGATTTACAAATACTTTCTCCTATTCTGTAGTTTGTCTTTTCACTTTCTTGATAACGTCCTTTGATACAAAAAAGTTTTAATTTTGATGAAATCCAATTGATCTATTTTTTCTTTTGTTGTCTGTACTTTAGGTGTCATACCTAAGATTCCAGTGTCAAGCCAAGATCATGCAGATTTACCAGAGCATCTTCTTGGGGTGTGGCTCAGCTCATGGCTCTCAGTATGTTGGAAAAGCTCCACTTTGAGATGGACCTTGCTACCCCTCATCTTCGCTTCTAATCCCACCCCCAGCTTGGCCCTGGGCCCCATGGAAAGAGGCCACCCCACTGCCTGGGATCCTCCCCTGTATACCCAATTGCTAAGTGACCAAGTCAACCCATGCCTAGGGATTTCCCCCCCAAGATTTTGCTTTGCTATCATCCATGCTGCTGCCTCTGGCTGCAGGACAGCTGCAGTGAATTGACCTAGACTTGGTTGAAGGTGTTTGTCTGGTACCACCCAGGACTAGAGTGAAACTCAAATTTTCCCCAAATCGTTAAGAATTCAGCACATTGATTTTTCAGCAAATTAGTTTTCATTAGTTGGATTCTAGGAGTTTTAAAAAGAAAGTGCTGAGGGCCGGCCCCGTGGCCGAGTGGTTAAGTTCACGCACTCTGCTTCAGCGGCCCAGGGTTTTGCCGGTTCAGATCCTGGGCGGGGACATGGCACCGCTCATCAAGCCATGCTGGGGCAGCGTCCTGCATAGCACAACCAGAAGGACCTACAACTAGAATACACAAGTATGTACTGGGGGGCTTTGGGGAGAAGAAGAAAAAAAAGAAGATTGGCAACAGATGTTAGCTCAGGTGCCAATATTTAAAAAAAAAAGAAATAAAGTGCTATCTTTTGATAATAAAGAAGAAATAAGAATATAGATATATATCTGTTCGTTGCAAAAAAGAAACACAGGAAGGATAAACCATAAACGAATGCAATTGTTCACCGCAGGGCCAGGGTGGGCATCTGGGAATTCAGAGAGCCCCTCCATTTCTGCCACTTTTAGGGCCCCAGGAGGTGGGGAGGCAGGGCAACCCTCTCTGGAGGGACTATGGGCCTGCCCCCTACCCCAGGTCACCAGAGGCTCCTCTCAGCTCGACAGCACCTCCATGTTGATGATTTGCGCAGGCACGGTTTGGGCAAAATTCCTACCCACCTCCCCAGGGTGTGACGTCCCTAGGAGCCCCGGGTGGGTGCAGGGAGTATGCTCAGCGTGGGAACCGCCAGGTGTAGTGTGGAGATATTTTAATTCATCTAACCAATTCCTTATTGAGCACCTACACTGTCCGAGGTCCTGTGGACATCATGGTGAACAAAACAGACATAAACCCCTGCCCCCAGAGAAGCTGCCATTCTGGCAGGGATAGCAAACAATGAACAAATGGATCAGCACATTATGTCAGGTGGTGATTAATGCCGTGAAGAAAATGAAGCAGGGAGTGAGGTCGAGAGGACTGAGACGGGTGGGCACTTACTGATGGTGATCAGGTCACCTCCCTGAGGTGACGCATGAAGTGAGACTGGAACGATGATTGGAAGGAGCCAGCTGTGCATCCATCTTGGGGATTCCAGGCAGAGGACGGTGTAAAGGTCCCAAGCTTGGAATAAGCTTGGTTAGTGACAAGGATCCAATCAGGGCAGAAATGCTTGGGGCTCAGGTTTTGCCAGGCACACTCTCCAGCTCAGCTCAATCTGGTAGCACAGAGGGAGAAGGAAGAAGGGAAAAAGAGGGAGGGGAGTGACTCTCCTGGAGCAGGGCAGGTGCAGGTGGTGGTGGGAAGGGCTGTGGGTACAGGAGGTAGGTAAGGCATTTGAGTGACTCTGCTGGGGATGGGGCCAGCATAAAGTTAAGACTTGAGGGCTGAGTAAGTCAGGGTTAGAAGCAGGGGAGGTAAACAGGGAGGTGGAGGGAGGGTACCAAGGGGCCACCTCACCTCCTTCCCTCCTTCTTTCTTTCCTTTTTTTCCTCCCTGGGGGAAGCCCTGCATCCGGAGAGAAGCCCTGGGTGCAGGTGGCAGGTGCTTCCCACCCAGTGGATCCTCTGACTCAAGATGGCAGCCTTGGCCTTTGGGAGTAGGTGGGGAGAAGACTAGATCAGAGCCTTGCTATCTCTCTCTCTTTCTTTTCAGTCAGAGGCACAGACACATATAAAGAGACCAGCACAGGCATAGTCCCTGAGTTACCCAGAGACGCCCATGTACAGTGACCATGCATTACTCACATATACACAGACACACAGCACACAAGCATAGACTCAGGCACACACACTCTGACATATGGCAACAGCAAACAGACACATGCAGACACAGTCACCCAGGGACACCCAGTATAGTGAACTTCAGTCACTCACAGAGACACAAGTCACATGGAGACCCACATGCCATGCAGAGACACAGCCCATGAGCACAGACATGGGCAGAGCCCACATAGGCTAACATACTGTGATACTAAGCCAGACCTATGCAGACACAGCCACACAGGTACACACACAAAAGCAAAAGTACTGAGAAAAAAAGGAGCATGCAGACTGGGGTCACAAACACTCAGAACCAGCCATAGAAATTCTGCTAAAACACATGGTCAGACACAGACACATAGAGAGGATATGGCCATGCACATCCAGTGATACGCAGTGGGTCTCTTTTGGGCATGCAGCAACCATTGGTGATCAATGCCTGGATTCATGATTTCATTAGGAGCTGGAGTGGAGTGAATTAAATAAAGTAAGAGAGGGACAATCAAACAGAGGAATCACAATTATGGACCATAGAATTTAAGCTGAATAAGGAGGGAAGTGAGGACATGAGAGAGGTATGAAACAGTGAAGAGGTAGTAGGGTCAATAAATTCTAAGTCCTAAAGGGGTTGAAGGGTGTTATGGCTAATTTTATGTGTCAACTTGACTGGGCCATAGGGTGCTTCCTGTTCTCATGACTTTGTACTCTGCTGGCCTAGAGATCTTAGTTCCAAAGGGAGGAATGCTTCCACAGGAGACACAACAGTGATTCCACTGAACTGGAAGTTAAGACTGCCACCCAGCCACTTTGGGCTCCTCATGTTTCTGAATCAACAGGCAAAAAGGGAGTTACTGTGCTGGCTGGGGTGACTCATCCTGACTACCAAGGGGAAATTGGGCCGCTACTCCACAATGGCGGTGAGGAAGAGCATGTCTGGAATACAGGAGATCCCTTAGGTGTCTCTTAGTGTTACCATGCCCTGTGATTAAGGTCAATGGAAAACTGCGACAACTCAACCCAGGCAGCGCTACTAATGGCCCAGACCCCTCAGGAACATAGGTTTGGGTCACCCCACCAGGTAAAGAACCATGACTAGCTGAGGTGCTTGCTGAGGGCAAAGGGAATAAAAAATGGATAGTAGAAACAACAGAATACTACTCAGGCATAAAAAAGACAACATCCTCCTATTTGCAATAAGATGGATGGACCTGGAGGGTATTATGCTAAGTGAAATAAGCCAGACTGAGAAAGACAAACACCGTATGCTTTGACCCATATGTGGAACATAAACAAACACATGGACAAAGAAAGCAGTTCAGTGGTTACCAGGGGAAGGGGGGTGGGGAGTGGGCACAGGGGGAGAAGGGGAGCACTTATGTGGTGAGAGTCAAGATGATTTACAACTGAAATTTCACAATGATGTAAACTAGTATGAATCTCAATTAAAAAAAAATAGGTATGAGGCTGGCCCCGTGGCCGAGTGGTGAAGTTCGCGCACTCCGCTGCAGGCGGCCCAGTGTTTCGTCGGTTCAAATCCTGGGCGCGGACATGGCACTGCTCATCAAACCACGCTGAGGTGGCGTCCCACATGCCACAACTAGAAGGACCCACAACTAAGAATATACAACTATGTACCGGGGGGCTTTGGGGAGAAAAAGGAAAAAAATAAAATCTTAAAAAAAAAAAAGGTAGTAGAAGAAAATGGTTATAAATGCCAACTACAACCACGTGACCAGTTACAGAAACAAGGACTGTAATTGTATTTCCTCCTTATTTTGTGCTGTAGACTACATTTTTGTGTGCCCTCAAAATCCCTATGTTGAAATCCTAATCCCCAATATGTTGGTATTTGGAGGTGGGACTTTGGAGATGTGATTAAGTCATGAGGGTGGAGCCCTCATGAATGGGATTAGTGTCCTTATAAAAGAAACTCCAGAGAGCTCCCTTGTACCTTCCACCATGCGAGGACACAGTGAGAAGACAGACGTCTGTAAACCAGGAAGTAAGCTCTCATCAGACACCAAGGTGCAGGTAGCTGCACCTTGATTTTAGAATTCCTAGCCTCCAGAGCTGTGAGAAATGAATATCTATTGTTTACAAACCACCCAGTCTATAGTATTTTTGTTACAGCAGCACAAATGGACTAAGACATTTTGTTATGAATATCTTTGTGTGCGTATCAAATATTTTTGTTTTCTTCCCTCTCTTATCTCCTTATCATGTAACATAAGATGTACTGACTTTATATCATAGTATTTAAATATTGTTAACTTTACGTCATAGTATTTAAGTGACAGGATGTTGAGAAGAAGAGTAAACATCACTCAAAGACTTTACCTCCTCTTCTGGGGAAGGGGTTCGTGCATTTTTAGTTGTAAGTAGGATAGTTGTATCATGTTAGATGGAATTATGACTTTGTTATTGACTTCATTTGGAGATTAAGTATGGTTTGAGGAGATGTGTATGGGTGCCAAGTTGACAAGGGGTAGACTTATGATGGTGAATGTTTTTTCTTCTCCCCAAAGCCCCCCAGTACACAGTTGTATATTCTAGTTGTAGTTCCGTCTAGTTGTGGCATGTGGGCTGCCACCTCAGCATTGATGAGCAGTGCCATGTCGCCCAGGATCCGAACGGGCGAAACCCTGGGCCACTGAAGCGGAGCACGTGAACTTAACCACTTGACCACGGGGCCGGGCCCCTATGATGGTTAATTTTATGTGTCAATTTAATTGGGCCTTGGGTGCCCAGATATTTGGTTAAACATTATTCTGGGTGTGTCTATGAGAGTGTTTCAGGATGAGATTAACATTTGAACTAATAGACTGAGTAAAGCAGATTGCCCTCCCTAATGTGAGCGGGCCTCATCCAATCTTTTGAAGGCCTGAATAGAACAAAAAGGCTGACCCTCTCCCCAGGTAAGAAAGAACTCATCCTGCCTCAGTGTCTTCTAACTGGGATATTCGCCTTTTCCTGCCTTTGGATGTGAACTGAAACATCGACTTTTCCAGGGTCTTGAGCCTGCTAGCCTTCGGACTGGAACTATACCATCAATTCCCCTGGTTCTTGGGCCTTCAGGTTCAGATTGGAAATACACTATCAGCTCCCATAGCTTTCCAGCTTGCCGAGTCACCCTGCACATCTTGGGACTTTTTGGTCTCCATAATTGTGTGAGCCAATTCCTTATCATAAATCTCTTCATATATATGAATATATATATATATATATATATATATATGTGTGTGTGTGTACACACACACCCTTTTTTATTGGTTCTGTTTCTCTGGAGAACCCTGACTAATACAAAGCAGGAGTGAACTGGAAGAAGTGGTGGTGGCCAAAGAGTGAAAACCTTGAAATTGAGATTATAGAAAGGATGCAGTTAATGTTATCCACAAGGTTAGGGTATAATGATGAGAGTGAGTGGCTGAAGGAGGATGGGCACAACATCAATGGAGAAGAAGAGCTCAGGGAACAGAGAGGCCAGAGGGTTGGATGGTGTATCCACCATCAATGTAGAATTTGAAATCACCACAATTCTGGACAAGAGAGGTATTGGAGAGAATGACAGTGAGCCAGTAAAAATATCCTCAAAACCCAAAAGGCAGTGATGAAGGGCTTGGTAGGCGACTGTAACAAACATGCATAGAAGCCCATATAGCCTGAAGATTGTGCCTCAGAGGAGCTGGGGGACTTCCTGAGGAGGGAGGGAGCATGGTCTGGGGGGGATGTGCATGAAGTATAAAGAGGACACCTATGCGTCCTGGATCACTGGTATGAGGGTTGTGGGAGAGAATTCACTGCTTGAAAGAGCTTCAGTATTGTCCAGGAAGAGTCACATGCCCATTGGAGCAAGAAGGTGAACTCAACCTCAGAGAAGAGGTTGAGGATGTAGGGATTCTGCTGATGACTGAGGGTGAGTTCCAGAAGGCACCATCCCAAGAGATGGGTCAGAAAGAGAGTTTGGGGACTTCTGTTTCCAGCCATGATGGAGTAACAAGGACTAGATATACTCTCCTGCCTTAAACAACTGAAAAACCAGATAAAACATATGGAACAATGGTTTCTAGATATTAGACAACAGGAACTATGGGACCATGATCCCTGAGAGAAGAGAACCAAATGAGTGAACTGTATGATTGCCTGGAGAGAATTTCCAGGTGCTGTTGGGGGAAGGGGAGGGCTCAAAAGGAGCCTGGTTGTCTCCCTAAGTTTAGAAGACATAGATGAGTGTTTGTGGAGGTCACAGCAGCTAGAATTCAGCAGACACGGCAGTGTACTATGGAAGAGGGAACTGCACAAAGAGAAAGCTCTGGAGATCTACAGAAGATTCCCTTCAAGTCTTCAATAGAGTACTGATCAGCACACACATGTGAGGAAACTGCCTGAGGCCAGGGAAAGGCCACTGAAAAGGATCAGGAGGAAAATCCTCAGAGGCAGGAATAGTTCATCTCCACACCAGCCTGAGTGGAAAAATCTCCTAACACATGAGGCATTGAGTAGAGAACTCAGAAGGGTATTGCTTTAGTACCAAATGAGCTCTAGCCTATCAGTCAAATTAGCCCTGGACTAAAAGTTGTCAGGTTCTGCCTAAAAGAACTTAAAAGCAAGCCTCAGAAGGATCAGATTGATTAACTGTGTCCCAGAACAAAGCTCCCCCCTAAATTTTTTTTTAAAGATTTTATTATTTTTTTCCTTTTCCTCCCCAAAGCCCCCCAGTACATAGTTGTATATTCTTAGTTGTGGGTCCTTCTAGTTGTGGCATGTGGGATGCTGCCTCAGCGTGGTTTGATGAGCAGTGCCATGTCCGCGCCCAGGATTCGAACTGACGA